GACTTCAAAATCCATGCTTTGAAGCACTGTCTTTGCCCTATTTGGTCACTGGCCCCAGACTTTCTGAATTTAAAGGATATTATTCCTTATTAGATTATGCTTAATTTTGAACTCCTTGAAGATCAGAATTCAGTTGAGTGCATTTCCATCATGAAATTGTTATTTATTCAAGTCAAAGAAATGAGTTACCTGCTTAAGGAAATATCTGCCTTTAATTTCTTAAATATGAAAGATCCTCTTTTTTCAAAAGCGAAGATGTGTTAAGTTTTCCCATCAAAGTGGTAACAGTAGTGTGATATAAAGGAGGAAGTGTGGTCTTGCTCCTCAGAATGTGCCCTGTCCCCGGCAGTGGGCAGTGTGCGTTTCACCTGGGGGTCATTTAGAAGTGCTGAAGCTCCTGCCCACTCAGGATCTTCTGGACCAGTTCAACATTTTAACAAGATCCCTACGGTTCCCAACCTAGGCTGCACTTTAGAATACCCTGTCATTTAAAATTATCGGTGCAGAAACCTCACACCCCACACCCAAGGATTTGGATTTAAATGGCCATTAATTGGGTAGCACTCAGACAATGGCATTTTCGAAAAGCTCCCCCAGTAATTCTGAGCAGCTAGGGTTCAGAACCACGAGAGTTGTGAGCCTTAACAGGGTAAAGTTAAGGTTCTTTTCCCAGTGCTTGCACTGAGGTATGCCAGTCATCCAACGTCTTCTCTCGGTCTGCCTTCCAAGGGTGTCCAAACTTTTGGCATCTCTGGGGCCCATTGGAAGAAGAGTCATCTTGGGCCACACATTAAATACACAAACACTAATGAAAACTGATGAGCAAAAAAAAAATATTTTAAGTAAAATTATGATTTTGTGTTGGGCCACATGCATAGCCATCCTGGGCCACGTGTGGCCCATGGGTCGCAGGTTGAACACCCCAGGCTAGTCAATGAAGAAGATGTATATAGCTCACTTCAGCAGAGTTGAAACAAATAGACACAATCAGCTCTGAGAAAGTTGAAAGCATAATGTACATGTTATTTTTATTTTTATCTATTTCTAATTATTTGTGTTGTTTATGCATGTAACCTTCAGTGCTCATCATTTCAATGTTAACAGCCTTATTTTAAATGGGCTAGAATAGGCAAGCAGTGCAATTTTTTAGAAATTTTAAAATTACGAGAGCAACTGATGATTTACAAGTTCCTAAACTGTATTGGAATTAACAGAAAAGTGCATGGATGAAAGCCAATTCTGGGCTATTTTTGTGTGATACTGAGTATTAGCCCAAGCGTAACTAAGATGGTGATTGGAACCAAGGGCATACCCACAATGAGAAAGCAGACTGTCTGCCCAGGGTAAGTCCCAGCAGAAACTGGGACTTTCTTTTGTTTTTAAGACTATGTAATGTGCTTTTGGCTCTACATCTTTCTTTGGGGTATGAGTGTCAATATATCCATTATCCTTATTTTAGTATCTAAGTGCTATAAATAAGGGGAAGTCAAGTCAAGGAACATGTATAAAGGACCCATGGACAAAGACAACAGGGGATGGGGGGAGGATTGAATGTGGGAGGTGGGGGGGGAATAGGGCAGGAGAGAGTAATGGGGGGGAAATGGGGACAACTGTAATTGAACAACAATAAAAATAAATAAATAAAAGCTATAAACAGCCAATGGTAGATCCTTATACTATCTTTCACTATTATATTTTTGTTAGGTATGCCTTAGTAGAACCCCATAATTCATAAAGAGAGAAATCTTTTTTTAATCCTGAAAGTCAGGAAAGTATTCTCAAATGCAATTTAAAAGCTTGAGTATTTGACTTTATCAGATACAGTATTTTTTTACTGTGTGTAAGTCGATGTGTATTTAAAAGGAAAGACAAAAATATTTGCAATCATGATATTATGTCTTATTATGTTAGAATTTCAACCATAAATACTGATACTAAGGATTTGATTCAAAACTCTGATATTATAGTGCAATAGGTAGTTTTAAGAAAACAGAGATTTGAAGAAGGGGGAAATGCTTGAAAGCAACCGTTTTGTTGCTGAAAGTTGGGCATAGTTAATAGGTTAATTTCTGTTTATTGAATAAGAGAGCCCAATGCTGATTGATATAGTAATTTCAGTGTTTGCTATGGCAAATATTTAGCTCATTATCAGTTTTAATAGCATTTTGCAGAACAAGCCTTTTCTTGACATCTAGAAAATACTATTAAATTTCCCTGCATAGATACATTGTTATGACATGCAATAACTACTTGAATATAAAGGGGATTAATAATTTAAAAGGTGTTAACAAATTAGGGCCATCATTAAAAATAGACTTTGAACCATTTTGTAGCAAAATCAGATTGAGGTAATGCTCTGCTCTTATGATAAAGAATTACTGCATTAATTCTGCAAAGTGAACTTATTGCTCCTATTCGTCTCCAAAACCCTGGAGCATTAAAAGACAGGAAGAATGAAATGATCACTGCATTTTTTTTCAGGCACAACAGTTCCAATATTTCCATCACAGTTTCACAGCTCAGCCAGCTTAGTTGTGTTAATGGGGGCAGGGTAGGGGGGCTTCAAAACGTCATCTTTTTCTTTAATTTTGCTTTTAGCCTGTCCGATACAATTGGGCCAGATTTTCTCAGACTATTTATAATAATAAATAGAGAACTGTATTTAACTTAGGGACCCTCCGTATTGACTACATGGTTTAATGCTCTTTTGTATTTGACTTCTTAAAATGTAATCCATGACTATGTGGAAGATCTTATTTCCACATCTGTCCCCCTCCAGATGCTGGAGTTGATTTGGCTGCAGAGGACAGCTGAGCGGTGTCCCTTTCCTTCTCTACTGCTCTGTGTACATCTCTCCTAAGGATACGCATTCGTCCTAACACTAAGCAATTTTAGATACAGAGTTCAGCCCCACAAGACTTGCTGTTTGGTCAGGAGAAATTGGTAGCTACTCGCTCCTATTTGAATCTTTAAATTTAATACCTAATTTTATGTACTTAATATTCTTTTCTCGTAAAAATATTATATATGATAGCACATTTTTAAGTACTGTTATACTTGATAACTAAATTCCCTGTGCAAACTATTGACATAAACTGAAAAGAAAATGAAAACTTGCATAGAAATTGCAACTATGAGGTATATGTTCATAGAATCATGGAATATTAAAAGCTAAAATGGACCTCCGAGGTCACCTTGTTAAACCCTTGAATTTAACAGGCGAGGAAACTGAGGCCCAGAGAGCTGAAATAGATCATTTTAACCCACAACGCTCTGAATGATAGGACCTCTCCATTGTCATTTTTGTAATATGAGCCATCCGCCAGGTCTGAAATTGCCAAGTTAATTAGAGCTCTGAAGTGGAACAAATAATGGACTTAGGGTCAGGTGGCCTATAACTTGAGTCCCAAATTATGCACACACCATAGAGAAAATCACTTGACCTCTTGGTAGTGCCAGTTTCCTCATCGACTAAATGTAGATCATAATACCCTACTTTGGGGGATGCCATGTGAATTAACTCAGATTAAGCCCTGTAAACTATAAATTATTATGCAAATGTAAGGTATTATTAAGAGGGAATGTATGCTTCCACTAAATGAAGGCTTTTTGTTATCTGGGAGGGGAATTATTAGTTAGCTAACACATTAGCAAGGCCTGAGGCAATGGGACAAAACAATAAGTTTTCACTGTGGGAGAAGAAAGGTGGAGAAAGACCTAAGGCTTTGGCAAGTACAGCAGAAGAGGGCAGTTGCCAAAAATAGCAGAAAGGAAAGGAAGGAGATGCGAGCTTCCTGTTACAATTGAGAAAAGGGAGGTTTGGAGACTTCAGTAATTTGACCTCAGCGACCCAGCCAGGAGGTGGTGGAACTAGAACCGAAACCAAGGCTCTTAGATTCCAGAGACCAGATATGATTACGTGGGGCAGTGATTCACAGTATCATAAAGAGAATGAAATTTTTGCACAAAGTGAATAAGAGAACATTCTTTTCTCCTGTCGGAAGCTGTAAGACATGCATGCTATGAAGGAAACCTAAGGAAGCTCTGTAATGCCAACTTGTGAGAGCAATGATGAACTAAATGTTCTGTTTACAGCAAGATTGAGTGAATGATCCTAAAGGAATTCTGACAGGAATTTGTCAATGGTCCTTTTTAACTTTAAACAATTCACTTAAGAATGGAAGGACTTCTAAATGTCTAGTTCTAATAATATTGATTTACCCACCAAGGCTTCTTCTCAACTCACAATCCTTTTAACAATCCCTTCTAACCTAACCAGAGGCTATATTTCCTACTTGGGTTATAAATCGAGCAAAAGGTATTTAACAATTTATTAAACCTTTTGATTTCATCCTCCGCCAGAGATCTAATAAAACCCAATGCTGAACTATGTCATTTAACCCACTTTTGAAAATCACTGCAATGAATTTAGCAATTATGAGACTAATGGCTTTATTACAAGCCCACTCTTTAAAAATACTCCTTCAGTTTTCTGTTTTAATGTTTTTATCAGACAGGTAGCCCTACTAATCCCATTCAAACCGTGAGGCCTCCTCATCCACCTTCAATGCCCTAAGAATGTGGAAAAGAATTGTAAACTTCCTATTTGAGAAAGCCTACTGGCATAGAAGTAGAGCAAGAGGAGCAGCTATGAAAAGAGCAACAAATAAAAGGAGGACTGTGTTCTGCGGTAGACACCAACCCGTCACCAGGCCTGCGCCACTGATCTGCTGGTCCAGAGCGCCTTCCTTCCTCGCGTGTCAGAACTGTTTGCATACACATATCTCACATCTGCCTGAGGTTCCGTAATGGGGTGTTTCTTTAAGTAAGCAAACATTCATTTTTCAATGCAAACATCATACATTAGAATTGACTGACTTAATCTGATTGCTTTCTCCCTCACATTTAGCTGAGCACTATTGAAAAGACACTGTGAATCTGAGTGAATAATTCTTTGAGTCCAGACTTCTCTGCTTCCCAGATTTCTTCCATTTCCGAAGCCCCCAGCTTGCCCTTCGTGGTCTGCTCTCCTTGGGGGTTCAGCTGCCTGAGCCGCCCAGGCGCCGTGGCAGAGGCCACGGGTCCTGAGCGGCAGGCCCCTCCAGAGAGTGGAGGCTTTAACAACATTTCAGTCGGTGTTATTGACAGTTGACTTATGCCCTTTGAATTTGCACGCCTAGGCCAAGATCCTTTTTCTCCCTCAGCCATAGAGATATCATCATCATTTCAAATCGTAAATACGGGCCAATGCCAAGGACTGCTCTCTTTTGAAGGCTGCCTATCTAATTAACTCACTCGGTCTGAGGCCATGTGACAAGCCAAATCAACTGTGTTAGTGCTGAAATGGAAAGAACGAATACCTTGTTATCCTGGAGGATCATCGACTGATATGCAGAGATGCTTTTACTGCATAGACAAGATAAAAACTAGCGTTTTAGTTCCAAATTTAGCCCATTCTTTGATTTAAAAATTAACACCTGGAAAATTGAGTGCGTTTTACCTGAATGTTAACTTGTGATTTTTGGTTTCTTTTAAAGAAATAACTAAGCATTTAAGTTATAATTTGAATTTGTGAAGAATTGCTTTCTATAAAAATTGTTATAATTTGCAAGCAAATTAGCCCTATTACCTATACTGCTCCATTTTTTTATATTGAGGATATTTTGTTCTAAATTTATGTTCTAAAAATAGACAATACTCTTTTAAATATATCTATGTGTACATGCATTTATGATACACAAAGCTAAGTATTTTTAAATAAGCCCTACAATTTTTTCAAAACTTTCATTGCATTTTTTTATCTGCAGAATCACAAAATAGTATATGAAGGATTTTTTGGGTAACACATATAAAATTACGTAAATAATGCCTATGCCCACAAACTTACAGCCAATAAGCCTGTGCATAAAAAGTCTAATCAGCAAATTGGAAAGTCCTGATCTTCGAGGGAAAAAGAAAAGGAAGAAAAACCTTTCTTTCATTTGCTTTCACTTCTAGCACGCAAGAAGAGGGCCTCACATTAGTGGCCCCTGAGGATGTGATCGTCCTTTTTGAACTGAATTTATTCATTACCTTCCTGTTCCTTAGCCCTATGTCTCCAAGCATGGCTTTACTTAACATTGTTAAGTACCTCAGTCTGGATGTGATCCCTTTATTATATTTTGATCATCTGTAGATAAAATGTCAAGCACAAGTGATATAATAGAAGCAAATGATATCTATGTTTGAACATGATGATAAAAAAAGAGAGAGAGAGAAAATCCTCTTACCTAACTATGCCTAGGTATATGTACTCTCCTAAACTGATTCTATTTTCAAGTAATTTTTCTTTTTCAAAGTAATTATTCTAATTGACATACTTATACACCAATTAACCTGGGAACTGCATGTCAGTAATGCCTTAAGGAATATTAGTTATTGGGGTGACTGAGGCTTGAAGTTGTGATTGAATATGATACTCTCAGTCCCCCCACCCCCACCAAAGAGAAGGGTGAAGGCTGCGTCTGTCGTGAGTCACCCCTTGAGGTTAGCTTAGAGCAGTGCTTCTGCTTTGGAAGAAGCTGTCAGCCCTCTGGGCTACAGGAATATGCTGTTTTTAATAAGAACCTTCAACAAGACAGTAGCTATGATTTGGAGTCTATTTTCTCCCATCTACCACTCTTGAAATGGAACTGATCACAAGGCGATTGAATACTTAATGCCAAACTAGTTCTGAGCATTAGAAATCGCCAAGAACTTCAAATCCAGATGTTACCTTCCAAAAAATGGTTTGATTAAGATGCTTTTGGAGTATATCCTCTACTTTGCACTCTGCACACATCATTATGTTGCATTGCCATGGAAGGATGGAAATGTGAGAACTCAGTTAGGGTAGGCATCGGCATTGTCCTCCCCTTTGGCCTAACAATAATCAACTCTGTTATTTAGTGTGATTTTTTTTTTCTGTAGAACAAAGTTTAGAACTTGCATGGAGTCAGCCTTTAAATATTAATGTGCCATCTCTGAAAATGAGATAAGGTGCTGATTGCAAGGGTTAGGGGGTGGGGGAGAGTCTTTCTGGTGAAGTCTATGATTGCAGCAGTGTTTATGACTACATACCTTCCTGAAACAAAAATTGAACACAATTGATAGAATTAATGTTTCATCAAACCCTAACCGTGTAGTTACCCATTGGCTACCATATACTTTAGGCAAGGAGCTGATGCTTGGTTGGACCTAGTAGCAGTGGGATCACAGTAAAGACAGGTGGCTGGCTTCCGTTGTCTACAAACTACATTGCCGTAAGAGGTATTGAGACCAGTGACGAAAAAACGAAGTGACACCTATCCGATAGACAGACTGCCGAGAGCTTTCTATGACGTTTCCCCCTCAGACGTTGTGCCACATGAAATTCACACATTCAGGCCCCGGGAGTCAGGTCTACGTGACATGTAGTTTGGCTAAAATGAATCTACTGTATTAGTTTTTGTGAAAATGATTAAGCTCTATGGATTCAAGATCAGTTCTATTTTTCAAGTAGTCAAAGGCAAATAAATCCTAATGTAAGAGACAAAATGAGAAGAAGCCCGGCAGTGATAAAATTGAATTGCACAAGAAAACAAGATGCAAAAGACATGATCTGAGCCACAAAACAACACAAGGTCCTCGATTTGGCAGTTATTGTTGTTTTTAATCTGCTAACATGCAACATTTTAAAAAGCCTTTTAAGGAGACTGTCCATCACAAAAGTCATAATTTTAATCAGAATTCTCATAACATTTCCCAAATTCCTAAAGGCAATCAGCTCCACTCAAATTAGTAACTCAGATAAATCACCATTAATTAGCTAATATAAGCCAGCAGGTGGTTTTGAGCCCAAAGACATTCCCTGGTTATTTAAATTATGTATGTCACACCACACTAAAAAAAAAAAAAAAAAAAAAAAGAGTAAGTAAAAAGGAGCAGAGAGACAAGTCTGTTGAAAAAAAAAATCTGTTGAGGGATAATACGCAAGTAAAATCTCCCGCAGCTTCCACATCTTACCCAGAGAAATACAAGGCAGCTTTGACCCCCCTGAATCAAAAAAATACCATTCACCAACTTCCAGCTCTTATTTCAACACTGATTATTCATGCATTGCATGAAGTGTGTATTGGAAGCTTACTTGAATATATTTGTTCTAGAAAGATTACCAATTACTAAAGAATAGGAGAGGAGGAATTGCTTTTCATGAATAATATGTGACACAAGAGAATCTTTTTTTCATAATTTCTATGCCCTTGTGTTCTTTACTTGACCTACTCCAATTTGGATAATTGGGGGTTATTTCCTAGACTAGAAAGAGAGATAAAGGCCCTATGTAGTTGTCAATCGTCTAAGAATGTATTTGTGATTAAATGGTGCAGAAGACGGTTAGTTTATATTGTAAATCGACTTGTCCATATGGAGGTAACTTGTCTTAATCCTCTTAGGATCTACCCCTTTCCTCCCATGAACTTCTTATACAGTTACAATTTTTATAGTCTACTGACAATACTTTTGGGGCAAAATCATATTAGACTTCAGATACCTAATTTCATTCTGTTTTGCTAATGTTACCTATAGTATATATCATTTTGAACTTCATTGGTGTGATATCTACTTCGTAAGATTTCTAAAATATGAGCATAATAAGTAGACATCTGAACCTGACTAAAGACTTTGCTGAAGAAAATCATAGGGTCTGATTCTGTTTCAGCATGAGAGCTGAATTTCAGTAAACTATAATATGTTGAGTCACGAGATGTATTTGTTTAAAGAAGACCACAAGTCTTTGAGTTGAAGCTTCTGGACCAGCTTCGGCAATGGGCTAGACTTGGCTCTGGGTCATTCTTTGAGCTCCATTTGGACCTGTGATGCAGAACCTTAAGTTTATAACTTTATCACATCTGGAAGGAGGCAAAAACCAGACTGACCTGCGGAACAGGGGCTGTGAGAAACCGTTCCCTAAGCATTTCTCTAAACACACTCTCTTTCACCTCCACCAACACATCAAAGCCACCTGAGAGTAGTACTTTTATTTAAACTAAAATTACATAGAAAATGCTTTAAACCTTTATGTTGCTATTTTAGATATTTGCAGCCAGGATCAAACTAAACAGACAATCATGACTACTTTAATTTCTTGTAGTTAGGGTTCAGCCAAAAACCTCACAATTTCTTCACAAATACAAACACCTAAGATCGTAATGTTAAGCCAGTTGGAAAATAAACACCAAGTGTATCTGGAATTTGTGACATTTCTAACATTTCTAATATTCACGACAACTCTCCATCCTATTTCAAGCACACTAACACGTCCTGTGCGGTGCTGTAGCCCTGGTCGGTCCAGAGCTGCAAGTGCTGACTTGTTGCTCACTTCATGTAACTGTGCCCTTTGATATCTTTTTTTTTTAAGTTTTTAATAATGCTGTGACTACTGCTGTTCACAAATATTTTATTTATAAAATCTATCCTCCCCTAGGGCTGGTACAGAGGAGCTACAAGCTGAAGGCTAGTGTATAAACTCCACGCGCTCTAGGAGACTGAGCTTCCTTCTTACCAGCAGTCGCGGAGCGGGGAGTTCAGAGTGAACTAGCTGAGCTTCCCACCTGCAATTCGGAAAGCTAAGCATCTCTTTGCCAGTGGGTTTCCCTGTTGTAGCATTCTTTCAACAAAAAGAGGAAAACATTATGAGGTGACAGTGCTCCTTCTTTTAGTGTGAATGCTAGAAGCCAGCACTGCAGGCAAGAGGGAAAAAATGGTTTAAAAGCCCATCCCCATCTTTATATTAGCATTTGAATAATAAACCTTATACAGTACATTTCAAAACATTGAGTAATCTTTATGTCCTCCATCCTCCTGGCACTTGATTATGCTGTTGCATAAAATATTGAAAATGGTAGCATTGTATGAGTGCAGGCAGGGTGGGCAGAAGAGCGCTATGTTTGGTCTCAGAAGACCTGGGGTTTCTCAAGGTACGAATACTGTTCTATCAGCGATCGTTTAGGTAGCCGTCCACCTGTGGAGCAGTAAGCATGGCTACAGTTAATAGCGGAGCCGTCGCCTAGAGTTGGGACACTAGCTAAACTCTGTTTAAAACAGGAGGAGATATTCTTCACTTCCCCTCTCTCTGTTGCCCACCCGAGCTTTGCT